TTTGAGTGCTTTGTATAACCACAAACAGATCCAAAAAAGATATATTCGTAAAACCGTCCCGTGTGTAGTTTCAAGAAATTTTGAACTTGAATTTACAAGTTCTCAGAAGCTATCGCTTTGACTGATTCAAAGTCTTCAAAATCCCGGCGCTTTGACATTTTTTGGTTGAAAAGTCACACATCATTTTTCCAAAATAATAAGGGACCAAGAATAATCTCAAAATAACTCGAGCCTCTGATCAAACCTAAAAGTTTTACCCAACACTTTTACTATTAGAGAAAAGGAAGGACTAGCAAAAAAGTCTTCTCTGTTCTCTTTAAGTTGTTTAATAGCCACCTTTTAAAACCCTAATTTTTATTTATTAATTTTTATTTTATTTTATTTTATTTTATTTTATTTTTTTATAATTGTATATTAATCTTTTTTTATTGCCCATCATGGATTCCTTTAATTTGTTCTAAATGGAGCGAACACTATTTCTATTTTTAATAAACATCTTCGCTAGTTCCAAGAGAACTTCAGTAAATTGGTTTCTCAAATTTCACAACCTATTCTTTTTGTCTTTTCCAAGTCTTCTCTGCGCCGAGAAGAAAAATTGGAAAAATTCGTACTGCATATACTCTCAACACCACCACCTGTATTCACCAAATTGTCTTTATCCACTTATTATTGCTTTATCTTTGGCCACTATTATTGCTTCAAGCAATTGGAATTACTTGATACTATTTTCTCCAAGAAAATCACAAATCCCGCGTATTTATACATATAGACATTACCATTTCGGTGATGAACGCAAACACCACTCTACAAAACACACCAAGCATGTCGACCACTTCTGTCACGCCAAGGACTCAAGTTTCATCTGGCCGTGGCATCGGAATGATGCAGACCTCGCGCCATCTTGAATCAAGGCGCTTGGGGTCCAGAAATAACGGCGCTCAAGGAGATCAAAATGGTATTGTGAGAGCGCAATTGCATGATAAATCTATGAAAAGTTAACCCAATTAAATTCTTGTCATTGTCGCACATAGCCCGCGTGAGCGTAAACAATAGAAGGAGGAATAACAATCCTCATCGTAAACAAACTCATCAACCGTCACATAATCAACGCAGTAAATCTGATCCTGATGCAACAATTAAAGGCGGAAATAGTAGTCACTCTTCATCAGGAGACGATGAATTTAATCAAGTTGAGGAATTACATTCATCCGTCGCGATTACTGCGTCTGAGTTGAATGATCTGTCGCTCAATGATATGGATCCTGCTGTACGTTGTTGATAATGCTTGCTACCGATGCAATTTCTTTTTCGAAAGAACAAGCTAATCGGTTGATCACTGTGATTATTAGTTTCACGGTGCGCCTGCGAGAAGAGGTCAAATATCTTTAAATCACCTTCTGAATTTTTCATTTCCACCAAGGCAGCAATACGTTTCGAGTGCCCCTCGAAAGCAAAGGGCAGCTAATTATCAACCGTTTAATAAGGAACGTTTTGTGAATGCAAAGTATGTACATTTTACCTAATCTTGGGAATATCGTTGATTAGAGAGACCGTGCGATATATTAAATATGAAATATCTAATGTATAATGTAGCTTTCGTTTCCTTGTCAACTCATTGGGAGATTACACCGTTTATCAAGTTGATCCTGGTTTGTGTGGATTATACACTCACTTTTTTTTTTTTTTGTTATTTTTTTGGAGGTAATATATTTGTAAAATAAACTGCACCTCTCCGTTCAGATCTTTTACTTCAATGGGAAAACATTGAGCAAGTTGTAAGTCATGTACAATCCTACTTTATTTAATCGTAATATATGACATTTTAAATATTAATTTTGATCATCTCTATCAGATAATCACCACTCTTTCTACTCCTAGTTGCCCGATTTGCTTGCAACATCCAACTGCTGCTCGGGTGACAAAATGTGGTCACACCTTTTGTCTTCCTTGTATCCTCCACTATTTGATGACTTCTGAAGACGAGAAAAAGTCCAATAAGAAATGGCGTAGGTGCCCAATTTGTTGGGACGCGGTTTACGCGAAAGATCTTAAAAATGTCAGATTTTGGGCAGTGAGAAGCATAAAGGGTGTCGGCGATGGAGGAATGATAGGCGGAGATGAAATGATTACAATGCGCCTCATTCAGAGAAGTGTAGTGTGTATCAAGAATGATTAAAGTTTTTATTATTTGGTGAATATATTTTAATGCTCTGCCTCTCTAGAATTCAACCTTGGCATTGCCGCGTTCTTCTACTTGGCCGTCTCGCGACGAATCCTCAGCTCTTTCTTCGACTCCTTGGCACTTCTCTCCGGATGTTCTTACATTCTCAAAATTGATGCTTGCATCTCCGGGTTACATGCGAGAAGAGTATAACAAAGACTTAAAAGATCTTCAAGATATGCTTCAAGAAGCTAAAAGTTTTAATTCAATCGAAGAAATTCCCTTTATTGAAATGGCCATGGTAAACATAAAGGTAATTAGACCTTTGAAATGGATTGTTTTGTGTTAGTTTTTTTCTAATATGTTGTTGCAATAGGAACATCTTGATGTGCTTCAAGCATCTTCGAAAATCGATGTTGCTGAAGCTGAGAAACGAGCCCGTGAGCTTATCGCTATGTCCGAGAAGAATTCTGAAGAAAAGAATTTGCAGGCGACTCAGAGAAACAGTAGTGGAGATGATGAAGATTTTTTTAAACCTGAAGACACCCCCCCTTCCTTTTTACCAGATGAATTTAGAGAGCAACCGCACATCGCAAATATTTATCTGCACTCTAAATCAGAACAAAAATCGAAAGCGAAATCTGTTCAATCAAATGTTTCAAATGACGGGTTTTATCATTTCTATCAATCCGAAGATGGGCAGCATATCTATTTGCATCCATTAGACATTCGTGTTCTGAAGCAAGAGTTTGGATCATATGAACGCTTTCCAAACGAAATAACCGTCAAAATTATTGGCGTTGAAGAAACCACGATCACCGAGGTATATATAATGAATGGTGTCTTTGGTTTCATAAATTTAATCTTACGTTTGGATATTTGTTCACCTATTTCTGAAAGGAACTTCGAAAGCGTTGCAAATACCTTGGCCATTTACCCTTGAGCTGTGATGTTACATTTTTAGAAGTTGATTTGAAAGAGATTGTTTCAGATCTTACATTGCAAGGGTTTTCAAGTACATTGTTCTTCCGTGTATTCATTTCTTTGAATTTATGTTTGATTTAATCTTTATTTTAACTAACATGAAATTTACTTACTATACGTGCAAAGAGGAACTTCACCAGCGTAGAAATCGCCGGAAAGAAAAGGCTCAAAAAGAAAAATGTTTGCACGAAATTGCTACTAAAAGAGAAAGACGGAGAAACGGAGATCGACAAGAGTCGGATCACGTTGAACAATACCTTCAACCTAACGCTTTTGGTGAATCCGGAAGCAGCAGCAATTATTCAGAGCCGCCCGGGGTTATTATGAACGGACCAAATGAGGATGACTTGAAAAACAATAAAACATCATACAGTGGTCCAAAGACCGTGTGGGGAACGCCGGTGGTGTCTATTGCCACTGTAACTCCCCCTAGCAGTAAAGTCTCAGATGAGCATGATAACAT